CCAAGTATCGTCTTGAAAAGTTGTAGCCACTAGGGCATTTATATATCTATTTAACTTTTATTTCATATCATTAACTTATGGCACATGTTATAGATTCAAGGATAGGACTTATGATTGTATAACTGCATGTGTTACTTTTGTACAATGCAATCATATGAATGGAAGGATACTTTATTCAAAAATGTATTGTTATTTAATTAATATCCTGGTATGCTATGTGATAACATACTTATGTGACTAGATAGGCATGGAATTTAATTTCTAAGATATTGATTGGGTCTGCGAGTTTCTAGAAGTACTGTTAAAAGAACACTTGATCACTGCTATTTCTAACTAGAACTCTAGCACCGTTGCGAGATGAGCATTATCTAGAAAGGAAATCCGTATATGTTTATGTGACAACGTGCTTATGTGGAGTGAATTAATTGCTGTCCACCTCATTAGGACGTGAATGAGTTAGCTTCGGCACATTAGTAAATGTGCTAATCTCTTGTGTTATCTTCATTAGGATGTCAGGACATGGACGTGGTGGTGATAGGGGTTGCAGGCCTAGATGACAGGAGGTCTCATTAACAGATGATATTCTGGCGCAGGAGGAAGGGGTTGGTCAGGTTAATGGGTTAGCAGGCCATGGGTGCTTTTGCCCGTGAGATGGCCGGAGCTTTTCGAGAATCCATGGACACTCTCAAAGTTAAGAATCAAGTCCAGACCCATGTTGCTAAATGGGGCCGTCATTTCTGAAGAGGGAGTTCTTCTAGTCTAATTTGGATGAGTTTTTGGAGGATCCGAAGAAGCCACTAGATCAGATGGTGAAGACGTTCAAGATGCTTGGCATTGAGGATTGGGGTAACTTGGAAGATGCGGGTCAGCGGTGGAAGTATGCACGTAAGCACATTGGGGTGGCTTGGGAGGCCTTTGTCAACGCCTTCTAGGTAAAGTTCTTGCCTCTCACTGCTAGGGAGAAGTTGAGAGAGTAGTTTTTGAAACTCATGGTCGAGTTTGAGGCTGCATTTACTAGTTTGTTGAGGTTTGCACCGGAACTTGTGGCGACGAAGAAACGGCGTTGCATTAAGTTTGAGAAGAGGTTGAGGATCGGACTTCTTTTCAAAGTGGTTGGGTCCATGATTAGGGACTATGGACACCTTGTGGAGATAGTGGCTCATCTGGAGACCGTGGTTCAGCCGGAGGAGGAGTGGATGAGGGGCTCTAGGCAGAGGAGTCAGGAGGTTTAGGGGGAGACTCGGGACAGCAAGAGGCAGAGGGGTTCCACCCCATAACAGTCATAGGGAGCACAGTTTAAATCCACTTTTCCTATACCGAGTTCTGGATCAGGAAGAGGTGGTCAGGATGGGATCACTTACTTTAAGTCTGGTCAGCTGGGCCACAAGTCTTTAGTTTGCCTGCAGAGTGGAGGAGGGCAAAAGTCTGCGCTGTCTATAGCTCATCCTCAGAGCCACAGTCAGGGGAGAGGGCAACCGCCTACCTATTATCAGTGTAGGCAGTTAGGGCACGTGAGGAGGTTCTACTCTCAGTCGGGTGGCACATCTGGTGCGTCTGGTTCGAGGCAGACGTAGAGCCATCAGCGTTCACCGTCAACTCAGGCCTCAAGGTCCAATTAGGGAGCCTCTTTAGCTCAATTAGTGTTTTAGACTTATGCTCCGAGGGCTGAGCAGGTAAAGCAGAGACCTTCAGGGCATGTGTATGTCGTTACCACGCCAGATTTGTTGCCAGCACCTTCGGTAGTAAGAGATAACTTCTTGTTATGTAATTCTATTTCCAATGTGTTGATTGATACTGGCGCATCGCATTCTTTCATTTAGTCTGCATTCGCATCAACATTAGGGTTAGAAGTGGTTCAGTTAGCATCTCCACTCAGGGTAGAGTCATTTGTTGGTGGTGAGGTTGTGTTGAACCAATGGTGTGGAGGTTGTGAGCTAGAGGTTACCAGTCGTTGATTTCCTTTTGCCTTTGTGTTGATTGATATGTTGAGTTTTGACGTCATTTTGGGCATGGATTGGTTGTCATCCTATCAGACCATTATAGATTGCTACCGTCAGAGAGGTACGGTGTGTTCCTCGAGTGATGATTGTTTTTATTTCTTGGGGGACCGAGTGCCGAGTGGATAGAGCCTTGTTACCAATGTGTGATTCACGTGGTTGGGGCGAGCTAAGTCTCCTTCTTGCTACTTTCTTGGGTGTTGAGAGTGATGTAATCCGAGTAGAGTTGCCGAGTAGAGTTTGTGAATACCCGGACGTCTTTCCTTAGGATCTCACTAGTTTGCTACCTCACCGTGAGATTGAGTTCTCTATTGATTTAGTGCCTGGCACGACACCAATTTTCATGGCACCGTATAGATTTTCACCCACATAGATGAGTGAGTTGAAGATTCAACTCCAAGAATTATTAAAGAAGGGCTTTATCTGTCCTAGTACTTCACTTTGGGGAGCATGGGCTCTCTTTACCAAGAAGAAGGATGGCACATTGCGACTTTATATTGATTATCAGAAGCTGAACCAGGTAACTGTTAAGAACATGTACCCACTGCCTCGTATAGATGATTTATTTGACCAGTTCAATGGGTTGTTGCTTTTCTAAGATAGACTTAAGATCAGGTTATCACCAGTTAAGAGTGATGTTGGAGGATATTCAAAAGACGGCATTCCGTACGTAGTATGGCCATTATGAGTTCCTAGTAATGCCTTTTGGGCTAACCAATACACTGACCTTGTTTACGGATTTGGTGAACCGAATCTTTTGTGAGTTCTTAGATTGTTTTGTGGCTGTATTTGTTAATGACATCTTGATTTACTCACCCTCTGATGAGGAACACGAGGAACACTTACGGATTGTCCTTGAGTTGTTTAGAGCCCACAAATTGTATGCTAAGTTTGAAAAGTCTGAGTTCTGGCTAAAGGAGGTAAAATTCTTAGGCCGTATGGTATTCGGGGATGGGGTGACTGTAGATTCTTCCAAGATAGAGGCAATGTAAAATTGGAAACAACCTAAGAATGCCTTTGAGATCCAAAGTTTCTTGGGGTTAGCTGAGCATTACCATCGTTTTGTGAAAGATTTCTCTAGGTTGGCCTCACATTTGACTAGACTAACGAGGAATGAAATTAAGTTTGTGTGGAGTGAGACTTGTGAGAAATCATTTCAAGAGCGTAAGGTTAGGCTTACCACTGCTTCAATGTTGATTATTCCAAAGAGGGGTTTGGGCTACTCAATGTATTGTGATACGTCTTGAGAAGGTTTGGATTGTGTCTTGGTGCAAGAGGGGAAAGTAGTGGCATAAGGCTCATGTCAGTTAAAAACACAAGAGAGAAACTATCCTACTCATGACCTAGAGCTAGCAGTAGTGATCTTTGCCTTGAAGATTTGGAGACATTATCTGTATGGTGAGAAGTTTGAGGTCTTTTCCGATCACAAGAGTCTGAAGTATCTATTTTCACAGAAAGATTTGAATCTGAGACAGAGAATGTGGATGGAGTTTATGGAGGATTACGACTTTGAGTTGTATTATCATCTGGGGAAAGCTAATATAATGGCTGATGCCTTGTGTAGGAAGTCCATCAACAATGTAGTTAGTATTGCCATTTGGGAATGGAATACTACAACAAAATTGAGTTTTTACGGCTCCACATTAACGACATACAGTAAATGTAAGTCGTGGTTTCTCGTTTTTACGACTTACTTTTTTTGCATGTCGTAAATAATTTTCCTACCATGACATGTCTATTGCGTAGGCCGTAAATGCTAATAATGAAGATTTTTTTACGGCTTGCAATGTTAGCCGTAAATAATAAAACTTTCTATAACGTGCATATGGCATGCCGTTAATACATTAACTATACACGACATGCGTACACCAATTGTTAAAAATATTGAACATTTCACGACGCACAAAAAGTCAGTCGTTAAAAATTACACTTTCCACGACGTACAAAAGCCAGCCGTTTAAAATATTATGCTTTCCACGACACGCAATTGCTGTCGTGAAAGGTATGATCAGGAAAATAATAATAATAATACAAAAATGTTTCATCACAAGAGTCTGAAGTATCTATTTTCACAGAAAGATTTGAATCTGAGACAGAGAATGTGGATGGAGTTTATGGAGGATTACGACTTTGAGTTGCATTATCATCTGGGGAAAGCTAATATAATGGCCGATGCCTTGTGTAGGAAGTCCATCAACAGTGTAGTTAGTATTGCCATTTGGAAATGGGACACTACAACAAAATTGAGTTTTTACGGCTCCATATTAACGACATACAGTGAATGTAAGTCGTGGTTTCTCGCTTTTACGACTTACTTTTTTTGCATGTCGTAAATAATTTCCCTACCATGGCATGTCTATTGCATAGGCCGTAAATGCTAATAATGAAGATTTTTTTACAGCTTGCAATGTTAGCCGTAAACAATAAAACTTTCTATGACGTGCATATGGCATGCCGTTAATACATTAACTATACACGACACGCGTATACCAGCTGTTAAAAGTATTGAACATTTCACGGCGCACAAAAAGTCAGTCGTTAAAAATTACACTTTCCACAACGCACGAAGGCCAATCGTTTAAAATATTACACTTTTCGCGACTTACAATTGCTGTAGTGAAAGGTACGACCGAAAAAAAAAATAGCGCCAAAATAAAAATTTTGAGCGCCAAACACCAAAAAAATTCAAAAAAATTCAAAAGAAAAAAAAAACATCAACCCCAAACCAAAACCTAGGCCTTGTTTGATTTGTATTTGAGAAACATGTTTTGAGATAAAAAGTACCAAAATTTGTTTTGTTTGATTTTTTTTCAAAAGATGTTTCGAAAAATTATTTTAAGGGAAAGTTTTGGAAAAGTGATTGATTTGATGTGTATGAGAGAGAGATTTGTTTGAAAAATTTATAAACCAAACAAGTTTTGAAAAAAAAAATTCAGAAAAATTTGTTTAATTTAATTATTTTTGAAAACTTATTTGCAAAAAATTCAAAACTTTTTTAGAAACACAAACCAGCCCTAATCTCTCAAGAGCGGCCTCTCTTCTAGATCATTCTTTGATCTCTCCTTTCTCTCGCTGGCGATCGGTGAGGCCGGTGGTCAAACTTGAGGCAAAACCTCCAACTACGACACAGTTGTCGTCACTCTTTCACTCTCTTGTACTCGTTCTTTCCTCTCTTCTTCGCCAATACCTCTGGACTGGTTGCGGATCCACACCGTTGAGGTCAGTCAAATCAAAGACTCACCTGTGGAAGATTCTGAAGCTAAGTACTAGACTCACCTGTTCGGTTCGGTGAGTCTTTTTATGATCATCATGTATGTATCCATATAAGTAGAACCCAAAAAGCAACCGAAAATTCTCTCTCCCCTTTCTTCAATTGAGAGAAGCTCTGGGATTGTATTGGGTTTGTGTCCATGGACGATAATGTGGTGCAGCGGGTATTCCAAGAAGGGGGTCGAGATTTTTACCAATAACCGTCTAGTTCTTCATCTTCATCTTCAATCATCCAATCCCTACCTCTTCATGTGGTATGCAAAAATCAAAAATTTCTTTCGTTTAATCATTCTTGTACCTGTTATGCATCTGGGTTTCTTTAAGTTTTTGTAGATGTTTGATTCACTTTTTGTTTTCACTTGAAATCTGAATTTGTTCATCTGGGTTTGCTTGCGTATGTACATATTAGTTGGAGAATACCCATTTGAGAATTTCTAAGAATTAGATGTAGATTCTTTATGTGTTGGTGGTATTTTGGTTCCAATGGTAGGAAATTAAATATGAGACTACTTTGAGAAATCGGTGTAAAATTGTTTAATTATAATTGGGTTATGTTGAACGCAATTTCATGATAATTGACACCCATCTCAGGATTATTAGAATTTAGGATCTCTTAAAAGTGAAGCAATTTTTTGAGATATACTGAAAGTATGTCTCTGATTTTGCTGTTCTTTTATTGATTTTTAATTGCATTGAAGAATTCAAAATACCCATTTGAAAATTTCTGAGAATTAGGTGTGGATTTTCTTTGTATTGGTGTATTTTGGTTTGAATGTAGGAAAAATTAAATGTGAGACATTTTTGAGAAATTGCTGTAGAATTGTTTGTCAATTAATTAATTTTTTTTTTTATTTGGTTATGTTGAACGCAATTTCTTGATATTTAAGACCCATCTCAAGATTATTAAAATTTTGGTTCTATTGAAAGTGAAACACTTTTTTTGAGATATACTGAAAAGTAGTTTCTTTGCTTTGTTATTTGTGTTGTTTGAGTAATTCTGACATGAGTATGGTTTTTAACTTAATGAAATTCATGATATATCTTGTTTTAGTTTCATTCCCAATTTCCAAACTTCCAGAGTGATAAAATTTAGAAGTTGAACTTCTGAACCTCGTGCATATAGAATTGAAGTTTGGTTTTACTTTCCTTGAGCAAGTTAACTCAATTTTTATGCTATTGTAAACTTTATCCATCTTGAAGACTGAAATCCTTACTCAAAGACTTCAGCTTGAATATCAGGGAGTTCTTCAAAATTTTATTATTACCCAATAATTCTAAGATTATATTGATACTATATATGAAATGGTCCCCTTAAGTCTTCAAAAAGCTTTTTCATTGGCCCTCTATTTCAAGAGCATTTTTACAATGTAGATGGGATGATCCCTTAAGTTTTTGAAAAATTCTTTTAGTACTCTATTTCAAATGTAATTTTACAATGCATAGGGAATGATCCTCAATTATTTCACATATTATGTAATATCATCGATTGTGTTGATTTGATTTATAATATGTAAATGTCATTTGTTATTTTTTCAATTATAAAAATAACGAAAGCAGATTTTTTATAGAGGTGTGAAAACCTTCCCATTCTTTCAATAGCCGATCTGTGCTGGAGAGGCCTCTTGTGAAATACATAATTGGGATGGGATGGGTTGCAAAGGGGTTAACTGCAACCTATCCCCATTCTGAATTATATAATCAATTCCTCCCCCATAGCCATCCTTACTCTGCTTTTGTATGCCGCAAACCCAGCCATAATCGATTTTGGAGTCTAATTGTTATATCTAATTTTAGTGTGTGGTGTATGGTGTAAGTTTGTTTATCTATGTGATGGGAAGTTTAGCAGTAACTATGCTGCTGCTGACTGTTTGAAATTCATTTGTCAGCACCACATGATTAGTGTATTTTTATGTACTGATATTGATTAGTTGTAATTTAACCATGCTAATTTGAAGTGGAGTTTATATAGATCATGTTAATTTTTCTTGTGATTTAATTATACAGGTTGCAAAATGAGTGTTAGAAATAATAAGTCGTCGTGGTCACAAAACTAACTTCTCTGATGGCTTCTATAATGTGTGGATTTTTGGTATGCATATTCTTTGCTACTGTGGTGGCTTTGAGATTTCTGCTACATTAGACTTTCATGGTATTGTTTTCTTGATGAGGGGATGATTTCTAGAGTTTGATAAATTGCTGAAAATATAAATTCTCTATTATTAGATTGCATGAAAATTATAGATGCATTGTATGTCACTGATTATTCTTTGTTTAATTGGTGCTAGCATAGCTTAGTGTCTTCCAGATATGAATTACTCACATTGTTGCTGAACTTCCTTAGGAACATGGCAGGTTGGTGGTGTTCTTGCGGTTTCTCATGCATTTGGAGATAAACTACTTAAGCCATATGTTGTAGATGAACCTAAAATTCAGGTAATGCATCAAAATGCTTCTTAAATTTAAAAACATATGTTGTTGGGCATGTGCAAAGGCAAACTGAAACATGCATCAGGAAATTCAATTAATTAGGTTTTTTTTTAAATTAAAAAAAAAAAAGAAGAAGAAGAAAAAAAAGTCTTAAAATAATGTGTGTTAAGGTAAGTAACGATGTTTGACTTGATGTGAAAGATATTTTTTTTCTTCAGATCAGTTGACCTCCAAGAGCATTATCTGATTTCCTACTTAATTGAGTTACTACTAAATACTAATCAGGTAATCAAGAACTGAAAACTAAATATTGGGGCATTTACACACAAGTTTTAATTTGTGAACTTATACTCCATCAAGTCTTAACTAAGATTTTTTGGACCTTCAAGTCCTATTAAATTTTTAATAGTCGGAATTGCCTTTCAAACATTAATTGTTCATCATTTATTATTATCTATAAAGCAACATGATGATTTGACATCTATTTTGATTTTCAAAACTTTAAAACATCAACTTTCAAATTGAAAAAACTAAAAGAAAAAAATTGTGTGCAAAAAAAAAAACTAAATTATTTTTTTTGAAAAATTGAATTCTTTTTTTTTTTTTTTTTGGTGAAAAGTTAAAAATTTTGTGTCTACAAAGGAGAATGATGAATCTCTCTCTCTCTCTCTCTCTCTCTCTCTCTCTCTCCAAGCTTTTGGAGGAACTCAAAGGGAAAAGCTTTCTGAGCAAAATAAGCTTCATGTTTACATCCTCACATAATCTTGTTTCCTCTTGCCCCTAAATTGTACAGCTCTGCTTATTTTATACTCTTCTTTTGCAAAGAACACTACTCCTTATATGATTTATTGTGCCATGAAACTCTATGCTACATTTTATTACTAGATCATGGACCTTCCAGTCGGAATCTTCATATTAAAGTAGAATCTATAGTTGCAGTAGTATTCTTCAAGTTTTGCTTCTTTGTGAATTATCCCCCCCCTCTCATAAAAGTTTTCTTAATGAACAGGTTATGGGCCAATTGGGTATGCTTTATTTGTAGCAGTGTATCCTGGCTTAGAAGTAAGAACTTGCCCTCTCTCTAAAGCATAATATGTTTACAAGGCTTCATTAATCTGTCACTAACATCCATCATGTCATGCTTTAGGAGGTTCATGTTAAAAATAGTAAATGCTGTGTGTCTTTGTTTCTCATATCACAAGCTAAAAACAGTTGAATGAATTTCATTTATCATTTTATTTCAAGTCACAAATTCTCAGCAGATCTACATATGAACGTGAGAATTATCTTAAATTTCTATAAATAGTCCCTTTGATCATAAACAATATCCAACATGTGCAAAGTTCCATTATAATTCATGTATGATTTTTGTTTTTAATGCAACTTTACTGACACTTTGACTAATATGTTGTCCTAGATCCTTGCAATACCAGTTATCCCATTAACCATGTCAGCTGGTCTGTTATTTGGTTCTATTATTGGCACTATCATTGTCTCTATTAGTGGAACGGTAAGTTGGAAGTTTTGCCAGTATGAAAGAACAAATTTTAAGGAAATGGGGTGTATTTGAACTTGTATCTTCTTACCCTTTCAGGTGGCTGCAAGTGTTGCGTTTCTAATTGCCAGATATTTTGCCCGTGATCGTATTCTTAAATTGGCGGAAGGAAACAAGAAATTTCTTGCGATTGACAAGGCAATTGGAGAAAATGGTTTTAGAGTTGTTACATTTCTTCGTTTGAGCCCTTTGCTTCCTTTCTCTCTTGGAAATTATTTATATGGACTTACATCAGTGAAGTTTGTTCCGTATGTGTTGGGAAGGTTTGCTTCTTGTATATATTTATGGGAAAGAGCAAAAAAAAATTTGTTCGGATCAAATCTTCAAATTTGTATGGAGGCAACCACGATGATCTCCAAATTTGTTGATGTATTAAAATTTCTTGATCATTTCTTAATACCTCGAGGAATATTTTTGTCCCTGAGTCGTTGGTTTTTGTACTTATATGAAGTTTCCTTTGTCATGCAGACAAGAAATGCAACAGGGTTAGTTGCTCCAGCTATTGCCGTGGGTTTAGGTGCTTTAACATATACATTGGGCACCCTCGTCCCTGTGGTAGGAGCAAGTGGATTTGCTACAGCTGCAATTGCAACTGTTATAGGAACTGTTGTTAGTAGTTTTAGATAATCTCTTAATAGTCATCGATATGTTTAGAAAGTTAGATATGCATAGTTTTGGGTGGTTTAAACTTTTTGTACAGTTTAGAACTTAAAGATATAGTTTTTGAATGTTTAGAATGTATAGACAATTGTTGAATGTTTATAATTTATGAATATAGTTTTTTTTTTATGTTTCAAACAATATTTCGGTGGTTGATTGATATTTTGTGATGCTTGTTTGTAATATTTGTTAGATTGTACAAAATTGGTCAAATAGAACCTATTAAATTTAAAAATAAAATAAAAAAATTACATATTCTAAGGCAGGCATAATAAGTCGTCGCATTATATATTTTATGGCGTGCAATCAGTATCGTTATTTGTTTTATCAATTAACGATGTGTAAAAGTAGTCGTAGAAAAAGTAATAACGACGCACAAAATCTACCGTTAAATAGTTTTTAACGACGTACTATAGCATGTCGTAGAAAAAGTAATAACGACGAACAAAATTTGCCGTTAAATAGTTTTTAACGGCGTACGAAGCATGTCGTTGAAAGTGAATGACTTTCCATGACTGGTCATAATATGACGCCCGTTGCACGTCATAGAAGAGTTTTTATGACGTGCATTGCGCGCCGTAAAAATCCTTTTTTGTTATAGTGGGAGATGTTGGGTGCTATTGGCGAGGCTGTTGAGTCTATAACCTTGTTTACTAATATTTCACAACCTACGCTTGTGAGCCGAGTTATAGAAGCACAACGGGGTGATCACTGGGTAGAAACCCTCCGGGAGAAGATATCTAGTGAAAAGGTAGAAAAGGGCTTGAACGTGTATTCTGACTCAAGTGTTAGATATCTTGACCATCTTTTCGTGTCGAAGTCTTGTAGAGAGGAAGTACTCCGAGAGTTTCACCATTCACGCCTTGCAGTACATCCAAAAGGTACAAAGATGTATCACAACCTTAGTCGCCAGTTTTGGCAGAGGGAGATGAAGAGAGATGCAACATTGTTTATTTTGAGGTGCCTTGTCAACAAGCGAAGGTTGAGCATCAAAGCCCAGTGGATTTGTTGCCACACTTGCCTATAGCTGAGTGGAAATGGAAGCATGTCAAGATGGATTTTGTTGTGATTCTTCCGAGGACTCAACGGGATAATGATGTTGTGTGGGTGATAGTTGATCGGTTAACTAGGTCAGCACACTTTGTACCTATGCACACGAGTGACTCGGTAGATTACCTTGCCGACCTTTATGTTAGAGACATAGTTCGACTTCATGGGATCCCTGTGACTATCATTTCGGATAGAGATCTGTGTTTCACGACTTGATTGTGGCAGAGCCTACAAGATGCCTTGGGTACTAGATTGACATTTAGCACCACCTATCATCCTCAAACTGACGGGAGGTCAGAGCGTACCATTCAAATCCTAGATGATATACTTCGGGGTTGTGTTATTGACTTTAAGGGGTCGTGGGAGAGACACTTACCTTTAGTGGAGTTTGCCTACAACAATAGCTTTCAAGCGAGTATTGGCATGATACCTTTTGAGGCATCGTATGGTCGATCATGTAGATCTCCTGTGTGTTGGGCTGAGGTGGGTGACGCACCTATATTAGGTCCTGATTAGTTCGGAAAACAATGGAGAAGGTTACACTTATCTGTAAGAGGTTGGTTTCGGCTCAGAGTCGTTAAAAGAGTTATGTTGGCCGTAGGAGGAGACCGTTATTCTTTGAGGTTGGAGATCACGTCTTCTTGAAGATATCATTGAGACGGGGTTTGATGAGGTTTGGGAAGAGTGAGAAGTTGTTCCCTAGATTTATTGGGCCTTTTGAGATCCTAGAGGGCATTGGGGAGGTAGCTTATCATTTGGCTTTTCCGCCATAGCTTTCTAGGGTTCATGACGTGTTTCATATTTGTATGCTTCGGAAGTATGAGCCGGATCCATCGCATGTGTTGGATTGGATAGAGTTAGAGGTAGATGAGGATGCTTCATATGAGGAGAGACCAGTTAGAGTCTTAGATACATGAGACCAAGTCTTGCGAGGCAAGATAATTCCATTGGTAAAGGTATTGTGGCAACACCATGGTGTTGAGAAGGCAACTTGGGAACGTGAGGCAAAAGTCCGTGAAAAGTATCCGAGCCTTTTTGTTGATGTTTGAAACTTGTAATGAAAATCTTGATATTTTCATTAAATGTAAAACATTGCATATGTTTTGGAAAATGGGTGAATTGTATATTCAATATTCAAAACTTTGTTTATCGTTGTTGTGAGAATTGGTTACGAGGATGGATGGATCATTGTTATGTTGATGTAAATGTAGCAGTTATTGTGTTGATTTTAAAATTTTGGAGACGAAATTCCTTAAGGGTGAAGGTTATAACGATTTCAGTTTAGGCCCGACTCGTTTGTTGTTTTGGATAGAGACTCCTTGTCTTATTTGGTTGTTCTTGTTCTTATTCATCTTATTCTTGATTAAGTTTGGTTGTTTGGATATCTTTATTCCATTTGGAACAGGTTGGGAGTTTGTTTTTCAATAGAACTGTTGCCTAGATTTTGGTCAGTTCACTCGAGCGGTCTTTTAGAACTTCCAGTAAATTTGCAGGTTTGCAAATATACTGGGAGGGTGTTTTTTCACTCGAGCGGTGTTTCTTACACTCAAGTGGTCATTCTTGCACTTGAGCGGTCTTTGCCAACCCTCAGTACTTTTGCAAGCCTGCAAAAGTACTAGAAGGTATTTTTCACTCGATCGGTCACTTTATTTGCTCAAGCAGTCTCACTTTTGTGTCTGGTTGCTCAAACGATGTTTTGGTCGCTCAAGCGGTTTACGCATATATAAGTTTTGAAAAGTCACTTTTTGAGTCTCTCTCTCTCTCTAAACATTTCAAAACCCTAAATCTTGACCTTCTCTCTGTAGAACTCATGTTCTACCTTCAAATGCACTATCATCCATTGATCTCTACACCCTAGTCCCTTTGATAAAAAGGTAGAGCTCACCTAGAGCTTCCATTTGATCAGAGCAAAGTCCATTTTCGACTCCATTGAAGTTTCAACCTTGCTCTTGCTTGTCTTCTAACTTGAGGTAGGGATTCTCCACACTTTAGTATGATTTTTAACTTAGTTATTTTCTTTTCTGAACAAGATTGTGATTTGGGGATTTTTGGATAAACCTAAGGTTTTAGTTTTGAAATCAAAAGAGTGGTTTTCAAAATGGTTTCTTGGAAATGATTGTGGGCTTGTAAATGTGGTTGAGTTGTGATAAAATGGTGGATTTTTATCCATGGAGTTTATTTATAAAGAAAAGGGAATTTTTCCCTAAAATGTGAATATTTAATTTTGTAAAGAGGATATGGAAATTATATGGGTTTTGTGGAATTGGAATGATGATGATGATAGTGGAGTTGGATAAACATTATCATTTCCACCTTGAAATTTTGGAAAGTTTATCTTTATTGGAAATTATCTATCTGTTTAGAGATATCTGTTTTGGGCTATCGGTGGAGGATAGCTATGATCGTTGTAAAAATTGCAAGAGAATTAGGAGAATTGAAACTAATTTATTATCCATTTGCATTGAGCATCGTTGCATATATTAACACATTGAAAATGTATATTGTTTTAAGAAAAATTGGTGAATACCTTGGTATATCTGGGTAGGAAGTGTGGTTGTGGTATTATGTTGGCCTATGTGTCCTTGGTGAAATTCCAGAAACTCGCGCAGTTAGGTACTAAGCGTTCTGGTTAGTACTGGTAAAAATGGCAATTGGTAGTGCTTGTATAGCCTACTTGTAGACACGTACCTAGAGATTCTCAGAGTTGTATCCACTCCCCTATTTTCTATTGTAAAGGAAATGATTTCATGAATTGTGATATAAACCTGGCATTGCACGGTTTTGAAAAGAGATATAAAATGTTTTGGCACGAACATTGCATATGCATTCACCTTATAGCTTTGTTAAGATTCATACACTGTGCTAGAGTATCTCTGTTGGGTTTTGGCTCATCCTATGTGGAAAACTATTTTCAAGAGCCGATGATATGCCTCCACCAAGGCCGTAACTTGGGAAGACTTGGAGCCAAGAGCTTCCTTTTGTTATTGTTGTAATTTTTTTTTTTTTTTTTTTGGCACAAGCCTAATTGTTGTAATTTAAACTGTATTGAGTTAAAACTCACTTTTGTTGTAACCAAGTATTGTCTTGGAAAGTTGTAGCCACTAGGGCATTTATATATCTATTTAACTTCTATTTTATACAATTAACTTATGGCACATGCTATAGATTTAGGGATAGAACTTATGAATGTATAATTGCATGTGTTACCTTTTGTACAATGCAATCATACGAATAGAAGGATACTTTATTCAAAAATGTATTGTTATATAATTAATATCGTGAGATTGTTTTATTGTTATGTTTTTGGGACGTTATATCTAAGGTTAGAAATAAATAACAAAGGTGAAACCGAAGCCTGAGGGAAGCTTCAAGCAATGATTCTAAAGTGTTTCTCGCCTTTTCTTGCTATTTTCTTGTGTTTTCTACAAAGTAGCGAGTAAGTTTTCTATTCTTAATTTATTGGGTGAATTATAAATACACCTCCTGAGGTTTGTTTAAAGTACATATTGTCCCCTGTGATTTGTTAAATTACAAATACCTCATTATCAGAGTTTTTTATTTAACAGAATTAATTGAAAAAATAAAATTCATAATTGTTCTCCTATACAATAATAAAATTACCTAAATTATTAATTGAAACATATTTCTAATATTATTAAAAATTGTTAATTGACTTCATGCTTTATTAATAAAATGAGCGATTTGTTATGAAATTAGAAATCTCAAGGGGTGAAATGTAATTTTCATAACCACAAGGGGTGATTCATATTTTAATCAAACCTCAAGGGGTGTATTTGTAATTACCCTAATTTATTTTAGTAGTTTTAGTCTCTTGTTTCAATACTTAACCATGTTAGGGTGTCAGCCTCACATGTTCATCATGTAGTCTCATAATTTTGCATGCTTTTTGCTTTGTTTTTCATGTTTTGTTTGAGTTATGTAAACAACGGGTTTAGGTTATTGTAGTTTTCATATTTTCATGTTTGAGGCTCGATTTAAACATCATGCATATTAGTTTAGCATTATTTAT